TTCTGTCTTTCTATATCAAACTAGCTGGTGAGATTTCTGTTTCTACAAGTCGGAGTTTGTGGTAATAAAAAGTAAATAAACATTCACATTTTTATATCTGTAGTTCATGTTTTTCTTTTTTTTGTTTATTTCATTCTTTGAGTTTTCTTTTTAGCACACTGCTTTCATATGGATAATTTCATGAAGAAATAGTTTAATTTATTCTTATTCTTTCAGTTTACTTAAACATATTTAGTGTTATGAGTTTGCCTCCATATCTATCCCATTGTGATACTGTACATACTCATTATTATTCCTTTAAAAATGCCTGCAAGTTTAGTTTGTATCTCCTCTTTAACACAACATTTGCTTAACAGAAGCTTTAAGTATTTTTTCAAGTAGGAATGTTTCTGTTTTCCTTCTTGGTGTTAAGCTTTACTGCAGTTGTAATATGATTGGATAGTGATTGGGATACTAATTGTTTGCAATATCTCTACATTATGGAGATTAATGATACAGTTCCCTTTTATTTTGTTTTATTTTTGTGAAGCAAGATAATATTAATTGAAATTTAGAAAGACATGAGAGGAAAGAGAGAGCTAGTACACGTTCAAGAGAGAACACAGTCTTCACAAGAGTAGAAAAAAACAAGAAAGAAATATAGAGAAAGCAAGTGAGATTTGTATAAACCAGAAAAGCACAGACTTGAAGGACAAGCTAATACAGTCCCTTGTAGGTAATTATCATTAAATATAAACAAAAATCTGTTCTTATTTCTCAGAATATAGTTGTTCATTTATATATAATTTGACTGTTGCTTAGATTTTCTGTATTGTTATTCTACTTTTACATCGCTTGTTCTTTCTTGCCAGGACATCATTATATTAAATATCATTTTATTAGTGTGATTTTATAATACAATATGGCATTTCTAAGTGTCCTTTCTTTTTTATCTTTAAAAGTGGTCGCTGTTTCATTTTGCATGTGAATATTCCTAAGTATTAGATTCTAGTTGAAAACTTTGGCTCTTATCATGAAGACTTATTATTTGTAATGCTTATTTAAAAATTATCCTTAATGTTTGTTTCAGCAGCACACATACTAAATTTATAACAATATAAAGACACTTAGCATGGCTATGTGCAATAATTATATGCAAATTTAAGAAACACTATTTTTGACAATGTTGTAAGGATATTTTATGAACTCAAGAAATAATAGTACAAGAACAAGAAACTATGAAAGTAGAAATGAAAAAATTGCAATCAGACATGACAATATTGAAGAGTTTGGAAGGTAAAAAAAATCAGTGAAAAAACTCAGAATCAAAGTAAAAGCAGTCTAGGAAAGTATCAGTGAACTTCAAGATGAGATGCCAGAAAACCTCTAAAAACAAAACAAGATGAAAAAAAGTCTCAACTGAAAAACACTCTAGAGGATTATGGAATGAGTTCAAGAGGAACAATAAGAATATTAGTGCCAAACTTAGTCATATACTAAGTTCCTCCCCAGCTAGGGATTTCCTCTTCTACTATTCAACAAACTTTTTATCTTTCAAAATAAGGAATTATTGAACTTCCTGAAAAAAGCAGGAGAGGATAAATAAGAACAACTAGTCACAGAAATCATAATGACCCTTATCTATTGCTGATGAGTATATACACTCATTCAAGAAGCCCAAAGTGTCCTAGCAAAACAACCCCAAATGAAACAATCCAAAATACATCATAATCAGAATGATAAAACAACATCTCCTTTCTCTCACTTTGTTGAACATTTTCTCTTTTACAAAACACAAAGCATTTGTATTCTAGTCTTCACTCTCTACCTCCACCTTTATTTTAATATTGGATGCACAATGCTGACCATTAGGGGCATTACATATATGAAAATCCCACTTCATCTCTTAGAGGATGACTTGGAAAATAATGATGAAAATGCATATGTAAATACTTCAAGTTTCTGGGTCACTGTGTCTCTGTCACAACCACTCAAGTTTGTCTTTTTAGTGTAAAAGAATGTGTTGAGAATAGGTTAATGGACAGCAATGCTTTGGTTCTAATGAAACTGTTTACAAAAACAAGTACTAGACTGAATTTGGCCTCATAGATTACAGTTTGCAGAACCCTACTCTAGTAGGACTCATAGCATAGAATATACTTATTTCTTTCCTGTGGAAAATTGTTTCTGACAGTCTAAGATAGTTGAAGGACAGACCATCTAGATTAATAAAAATAATAACATTTACTTAAGATTTTCTGTTTATATTTGAGAAATATTCTGGTTCAGGGTAGGTTGTTAATATCCTAAAATTATTATTTTTTTACTTTTGAGTCATAATTGGGTCATATCAGGGCTTACTCCTGGCTTTGTGCTCAGAATCACTTGTGGTGGTACTCAGGGGACCTCATGTGTGGTTTCAGGAATTGAAATTGGATTGGCCACATGCAAAGCAAGAACCTTACTCCTGTGCTATCTGTCCATCCCCTTTATACTAAAATTCTTGCCTATTTGTGTTTAATTATCTCTGTGTGGAGTGTCAACATAGTTTCCTGTAAGTTTCCAAAAGGAAAAAGGGTGCATGGGCCCACCCAGGCAGGACACAAGGGTTCAGTGGCTGAGAGCTGCCTCCCCAGGCCGTTCCACGGTGGTGGATGACGAATGGGTGAAGTACTGGGTTATGGAGAAATAGGACCCGGGCTCCAGGCTGGTCTGCTGTGGTTTATTTCTCTCATCCCCGGTGTAGTCCTATCTCTCCCTTCACTGCACAGTCGTAGTTATAGTTTTGGTCATAGTCCCAGTTATCAGAGTTCCATCATCCTAGTCTCTGTGTTCCTCGTAGACCTCAGAGTCCTCTCTTGTTATATCTGCTTCCTCGTCTCGTTGTAGTCTCATAGTCCTCTACTTCCAGTCATCATCGTCATCTGGTTCTCCTTCTAGTCCTCGCAGACCTCAAAGTCCCAAAATCTGTTTTCCTCTAGTCTTTAATGTCTAGTTGTCAATATTCTCATCTTCAACGTCTAGCCCCAGCATCTCATCTTCAGCATCTAGTCCCTAATGTCTTGTCCCAACTTTCTCATCCTCAATGTCTTCAACATCTCATCTTCAGCATCTTCAACATCTCCTCCCCAACATCTAGTCTCCTCTTATCCGTTACAGCATAGTTATATAGAAATCATGAAGGGTGGGCATACAAAGGTGAGGTTGAACATTATCATAACAACAAAGAGATGTAAAGCCATTAACTCAAGGACAAAATATAATTTGAGGAGATTCTAGATTACCAGGAGATTCCATCCAGGGTGTATTGCTTTCTCTTTTCCTCAGCTAGTAATCCATTTAAACAATCATAGTAAATTTACTTCTTATAATAGTTATAGCAATGTCATTTTGTATGGGCATAGTAAGAGATATATTAACCTTAAAGTTTGGCCCTTTCTGGGTACATCTTGCTATATTATATTCCAGACCATAGTCCGCAGGCAAGGTTATACTTACCTAACCTCAGCAGGGCCCTTATACAGTTACTTCTTTTTGGGTCATGATAGAGTTTGTCCATGACCATGCTCTTAACTTATAGTTAAGTATTATGGCTCTTTGCCTGACCTTTTTGATGCCAGGGTAGCTCACAGATTGCTCTGAGTTCATCCAGTCCATCGTCAGGATTCTGCTCTTGGAGTACTAGGATCTAAGGGCAACTGAGGCTTACATCAAGTAAATAGGGATGCCCAGAAGTAAATACTATTTTGGAGTTAATTAATTCCCATGTTATGTAGCATAGCATCAACTGTCTTCCCGTGTCTATACAAAAATGACATTGCTAAATAAACCATGTAAATGACATAAAGGAAAGAGAAAAGCAATATAGGATTATTTGTGATTGATGGAATTGGGTGTGCCTCAGTTCCACTGTTGTGGGAGTGATTCAATAAGCTCCCTGCGGGAGGAGCAAGGACAACCCAATGTTATCTAATAGTGTCCTCTGCTTCATGATTGTTTAACACATGTGAAATTTTGTTTCTTTGTTTTTATTTTTCAGTGATTTTGTGTAGAATCCTTGCTGTTCATTTCTATTGTATTGGCTTGTTTCAAGGAATTCCTAGTTAATGGCACTTTTTTCTGTCTTTGTAGCAAAATCCAGGTCCTTTAGGTTTTATTATGTTGTTAAAATTTGTCACTATTTTTGGTGATGGAGGTAGAAGTAGGAGGTAGAAGGTAAACGTTTTGAGACTCTGCCTTAGTGGTTCCCTGGTGCCTTCATTACAGGATCATATTTTTTCCTTCTGTTTCTCTTTTCCATAATTAACTGTGTATCCAGGTGTTTATCCCACATTTCTTACATGTTCTCTCAGAATATATGTGTTTTAAATATTACACCATAAATCAACATTACCCCTCTACAAAAGCTCATTATTTCCTGAAATCCTAGTGCTCACTTTTCAGGGTTTCTTTGTAGCATTTTCAGACTTAATCTGTGTTTAGTCATCCTAGCTGTAGTTTTATGTCAACTCTAAGCCCCTGTCTGTCTTCCTCTGTATCTCTTTTATATTTCTTTGATCTCTTTTTGTTGACATAAAACCTTAGTGATGAAATTGCGACAGATTGTGTGCTGAGCTTTCATGGTTGTCCGGTTCGAAATAAAAATTATTTTGTGGTTTTGGCACTGTTTAAGATAATGGTGAGGGTGTGACTTGTGTAGATTTTAGGTTTCCTTATTTTATATTTTTCAGCAGATATGTTGGGGAAAAGTCAGCTAGGTGGTCAACATGGTCTTCTGTTCACTTAAATATGATTCCTAATGGCATTTTGTCTTACATAAAATAAAACTATACCGTTGTCTCACTGTATATTTACACATAAGTGTGAAAGTATATGTATTTAAATATATAGATTTATGTTTTTTAATTCTATGCTTCTAGTAGAGGTTTCCTATGGTGACTGTTTGATTCACCAATACAATTTCAACAGATATTTAGTTTCTAATCTTGGAATAAAACATGAGTCTGTATATGTCTTTCTAGGATTGTTAAATATCCCTCTCCCTGAAGTAAGTTTACGAAGATGGACCCAAAATCTGTAAACACACTGCTTGAACTTGCTCTGAAGACTCTGCTGAGTAATGAGCCTGCAGCAATCCAAGCCCTGGATGAAATCCCAAGAGACCTCTTTGTTCCATTGTTTACTACTGCTTTCCGGGGCAGACAGACGGAGGTGCTAGAGGCAATGGTGAAAGTCTGGCCCTATCATTGTCTGCACATTGGAACACTGAATATACAAGAAGCACCCTATGAAATATTGGAAGCCATGGTGGATGGTCTGCAGTTCTTCCCTGCCCAGAACTCCTTCTCATGGTAAGACTAATCCAAAAGTGGCATAGTGAGGCAGCAGGAGGGTATGCTGGATCCTGGGCAGGGAATACCAAGAGTCTCCCCAAATTAACTCCTACTTAGGACTAATGCCTATTTAGGATCACTGAGTCTGTTGGTCCAACACTTGGGGTCATCTTAAGTACTTAAAAAACCTACAGAGCTAATATAGATAGAACTGATTAGTGACACTATGGATGGATTTACTTTTTTAATGTTATTACATAATAGGATGGCATGGGCATTGAGACTGGGGAATACCAGAAGTGAAGAAATTATAGAGAAAAGATGGTAAAATTATGTAGGAAAAGTTTGTATGTAAATGATTTATAGAGTGAAAACCAGCTCGTAAGGTTCTATCCTTGCTTCACATCATTGATCTTGCTGAGTTATAATAAAACTTACTATCTCTCACATGGTCTCTCTTCTTTTACTTTACAGGACCTCCAAGCTGAGAATTTTGGATTTAAGGCAAGACTGTGACTGTGGGATAGTGTGCACATACAGGACCAAATACCCATTTTGTTTTCAGTCTTGTGCTTATTCTCAGCACTCCAACTTTAAAGTAACAGAAGCACAGAATAATGTTAGGTGCCTTGAAGTGGTTAATTCAGAATCTGAGCCTCTGCTAGCCAGGGAACCCATTGAATTACTAGTGGACATTTCTTTCAATTCTACATTGAGAACAAAGCAATTTCTTTCTTTCCTTAAGCGTAAGATTGATCAGAGCTTTGGATCTTTGCACCTATGCTGCCGAAATTTGCAAATTGATAACCTGTCTGCACACACAAATAGCCTGCAGATTCTGGATCTGTCCTGTATTGATCACCTGGAAGTCAATCAGGGGCACCTGAAGAAAGTGACCACCCTTTTGCCTCAGTTGATCCACCTGAACAGCCTTAGCCTGAATGATGTTCCCTTTAAATGTTGTAAGGGGAGACACTTCAAAATTTTTCTTACCTGGCTTGGAAAGATGAACAACCTTGATGAGCTCAACTTGTCTTTCTTCTGCCTCAAAGATCAACTGCACAAACTGCTCAGGTGATGGGATGGGGGAAGGAAATAGCACATGTGTAAATACTCCTTAGATTCTATTTTTCTTTCTATCTCAGCCTGTATATTGCGGGGAGTTTGAAACTTTCTAGGCAAGAGAGAGGTGTCTTGTGGTGAGGGGAGTAAGCAGCTTAGAATAGGAAATTGTGTTCATTCATTTCTCCAGTTAGCCAGCCAACCATGTGCAGACACTATGTAATAAATTTACTGATTTACTGATAAATTGATAAGAATTATAATTATATTATAATTATTATGTATTATATTAAAATTATATTATAATTTTGGTTTTTACAGCCCTTTTGAAAGATAATTGTGTTATGGAGTAGCCCTGAAACATCTCCATTAATTGGTAACAATAGTTAGCACTCAGATCATTTTGCTTCTGAGTTGTCTCAAGGTTTAGATCTTGAACCTAGACCTTGTCATCTGGGGTCTAATGAAAAGAAATCTTCACTTAGCATTTTTAGACCCATCTTCACCAAATATGTTAACAAAATTCACCATTGTTATGTTGTATATACTGTTTTTTCCCACTTTATCTTTCCTATAACCCCATATAATAATTATTGTTGTATATATTTAAAGATTAAGATCTTGAGGGTAAGGTTGATAAAGTAACTGTACAAAGGTCATAACTCTGTAAAGACTGCAGCCAGTCCTCTTTGTGATAAAATTGCTTTTGCAAGTTATGTTAATTACCTTAGCGACTTCAGTAGCTGTAACTCAAATGTTCATTGATCTGGTCCAATATTTCATTATCCTGTAATAATTTTTTTTCTGTCTCTACAGAGTTCTGCGACCTCAGTTGGATACATTGAGCCTGTCTTTCTGTTACCTTTCTAAAAGAGATATCACAGTCCTATCACGGAGCTCTCAGGCCATGCACTTAAAGCTACTGAATCTAAGTAACAACCAGATATTTTGGGAAGTTTATGAGCCCTTACAGACTTTGCTGGAGAGGGTTTCAGGCACCCTGCAATACCTGGAGTTAAACAACTGCCAAATCACGGATTCTTTGCTGTCTGCTATAATCCCAGCCCTGAGCCACTGTTCACACCTCCATATCTTTAGTTTTGCTTGCAATCCCATTACAATGACTGCACTCATGAACCTTCTGCCGCATTTAACAGCCTTGGTAGAACTGAAGTGTGTGATTTATCCTATCCCTGTCGATTGCTATGAACAGTGGAATTTTAATGGTGTTTTGAACCAGCAGAAACTTGCTGCAGTGCAGACCCAACTGAAGTTGATGCTACAGGTAGCAAAGCGGGAAGACATGTACTGGACCACTTTTCCTGAGTGATTTTAATAATAAAGGTAATTGCTTTAACACTGATGTGCCACCATTAACAGGTTATTGCTGGCCTGTACCACCAGTGGCTCAGACTTGTATGTGGTTTAGCTAACACAAATTGCAGCTCCAAGGTCAACGTGGTTTTTTTTACTATTTTTTTACTTTTTTGAGAACCTGTGGTTTACAGTGCTATTAATAATAGTTCCAATACACCCCATCATCAGTGTATCCACTTCCCTCCCCGGGAACCCCCCAAACCCTTTATACTTACCCTCCCAATTCAAATTGCGTGAATCATTTCTCCCATTATAGTTGCCTTTGAACTTTTGTTGCTACCTCACTGTGTATCTTTAAGTCAGGGTCAACATCATAAAGCACTCATTAGTTTTCCTGAAGCCAAAGTCTGTAGAAACATGTAAGTAAACTTTCACTGTTTAAGAAACATGCTCTGCCCAGGGCTGGAGCAATAGTACAGTGGGAAGGGCACTTGCTTTACTTGTAGATGAACCCAGTACAATCCCTGGAGCCGTATATCATTCCCTGAGCACCACAGGAGTGATCGCTAAATGCGCAGCTAGAATTAAACCCTGAGCACCACCACGTGTGGCAAAAAAAAAAACTCCAAAAAACAAACAAACAAACAAACACAGAAAGTACATTGCTTAATCCAAGCTAGCCTGCTCATGTTCTTGGATAGCTGCTCAGCCCTAACCTCATGGCTTAAATGTTACCTTCTCAGATTGTTTTTATCTTACCTATCTCAGTAGATTTAATCTACTGCTGCTCACTTAGTGTACCACGTTCAATTTCTTCATGTTACCTAGCATGCCGGATGTCTTTGTTTCCTGTACTTTTTCAGTAGAGTTGCACTGTTCAGTGATGTACACACTAGCTGTAGGTAGTAAGGTACACATTTTACTACTCTAAAAAGTGATGCAGTCTACGTGCTAAGTGAGCAGTGTTTATCCAAAATTTGCCAAGAAACAAATGATGAAGAACACCAATTTTCTTGTAATGGTGACATAACATACTACATGTCAGCAACAGTAAAGAGAAAGAATATTAAGTTGTTAACATATAATTTATCTGTTGAAGTTAGTGCTGAATTTCAAAGGCCATGTAAATAATGGTTCAGGTACGGTGCTTACTATTTTAAATGAAGAAGGCTGCACTTTGAAGATTTAGAAAGAAGAGTGTGAAAACTAAGGACATATTTCCGTTGTTTTACGTTGAAATGATGACACAGGCATTCCAAAGATTTGGCAAGCAAATCATTTTGTATTGCTTATACTTTAAAATGATATCAAATGGTATTTTAAAGCCTGAGACTAAAGAATGTAAAAATAAGTAATAGTAAAATAGTCAATAGTTTGCTCTAATTGTTTTGATTTTGTAACAACACTGTATTTCTGACAGAAAAAAATGTTAAAGTAATTAATATGTAATTTGTTTATATTGTTTTTTTGCTGTAATATAGACAGTCAAAAGATTTTTGTCAGGGAAAGTAATGCAAAATTAGTTGTTCTCTGTATATTGCTTACATTTTGAAACAAAGCACTACATTTCAAGAGCTTACTAAAAACATAAAAGTAATGATCATTTCCACAGTGAAATTATATATATTCTTTATTTTTGTGTTGAATAAAATAATTCTTTAAAATTAAGTTTGCCTGTTCCTTTTATCTTTTTCTTTTGGTTTTAAACTTTAGTTGATTCATACTATATTAATTGGATTCCTTAGCACTGAAACAAGTTCCTTGCAGGCAGAGACTATTTATGTTCAGTTTTGTATTGGTCATACCTTTTTCTTTTAAAAGAATATATCTTTCTTAATGCACCATGATTTACAAGTTGTTTACATTAGACTTGTTTCAGCCATAGAGCGTTCTAACACTAGTAACAACAGCAGTGTGCCTTTCCCTTCACACAATTTCTCCAGGTTCTCTCCCACTCCTAGCCTTATCCCATGGCAGGCATATACGAATTCACTTCATATTGTTTGCTACAGCAGATCTTAAAGGAATGGCAAATGGAATTATCAGAAAATAAATCAATAAAAGTTAATTTGGGATAATTGATTGCATCTGATTTTAACCTATGTAAATAAAGAAATATAGATGATTTAATAAAATATAACGCTTATTCTCATTTACATAAATACATTTTCTGTGGAACAGGGTGACGGGCACTGGAGCAGGAAAAACCAGACCTTGAAAAATGGCCCTGTAGTGAAACTTTACAAGGGGGAGTAACTGGGCAGAGATAGCAAAACAGGGTGCCTGCATCATGTGTCTGGCTTTGAACCTCACTCCACCCCTTAGTCACATATGCTTGAAATGCAGAAACCATCATGTATGACTTAAGGAAGTCATCCTAACCGCAACATATAGCCTTGAAGGGGATTGTACTGGGGGCAAAGCAGAGAGGAAAAGGTAATAGGCCAATAGTGTTAAGCTCTGTGTGATTGCACCTCCTGTAATCCGAGACCATCTATATTAATGTGTGTATTTGGCAATAACTCAAACTGTGATCAACTGCTCCCAGAGGATATTCTTCACGTGCTCGTCCTCCTTTGCCCCATGACCAGGCTCCTTCCCAGATCCGGTAGCGACATGTCCTGGAATGTTGGGGATAACAGTTCCCCAACAGTTTTCAACTGGATTCTGAAATATATTGCATCAAGTTATATTTTGTAGTTATATCTCACTGTGATAATTATGTCTTCCCAACCAAAGATAAGACTTTTTAAAAGATTCTGTGTTAACATATTTTAGAGTTACATGATAGGTAAAGTCTGTCACTGTCCACTGTCCTTCCGTTGTTCATCGATTTGCTTGAGTGGGCCCAGTAGCGTCTCCATTGTGAAACTTGTTACTGTGTTTGTCATATCGAATACGTGACGGGTAACTTGCCAGACATTGCCACGCGGGCAAGATACTCTCGGTAGCTTGCCGGGCTCTTCAAGAGGGTCGGAGGAATCAAACTCGGTTCAGCCATGTCGGCCGCATGCAAGGCAAAAACCCTACCTGCTGTGCTATAGCTCCAACCCAGATAAAGCCTATCAATGTAAAATTTAGTAAACAAATTAAAATTTTAAGGGTAAAATTTGAATAGGACTGTAAAAGTACAAAGAGTTTTATAATACAAAACGGATAAAATATTGGTTTTAAGTTGTAAGTAAAGTAAACGCCCTCCCGTTGATCATCGATTTGCTCGAACAGGCCCAGTAACGTCTCCATTGGAGACTTTGTTGTTACTGTGTTTGGCATATTGAATACGTCACGGGGAGCTTGCCAGGCCCTGCCGTGCGGGCGAGATACTCTCAGTAGCTTGCCGGGCTCTCCGAGAGGGGCGGAGGAATCGAACTCGGGTCAGCCATGTTGGCTGCATGCAAGGCAAACGCCCTACCGCTGTGCTATCACTCAGATAATAAGATGTCACGGCAGAGTCTAGCAAACTTCCCTTGTTGTACTCAATATGCCAAATACCAGTAACAATGATGGGTCTCATCCTCCTAATCCTGAAAGAGCATTGAAATGGCTCTTTTAAAGTCTCAGGGCTAGGTAGAAAGAGATGTTACTGGTGCCTGCTCGAGACAATTGACGAACAACAGGATGATCGTGATCGTGATATTATATTAAGGGCTGGAGTGATAGCACAGCCGGTAGGGCATTTTTGCCTTGCATGTGGCCGACCTGGGTTGGATTCCTCTGTCCTTCTCGGAGAGTCCAGCAAGTTACTAAGAGTATCCCTCTCACACAGCAAGCTCCCTGTGGTGTATTCGATATGGCAAAAACAGTAACAAGACTCACAATGAAGACCTTACTGGTGCCCGCTCAAGCAAATTGATGAAAATGGGAGTACAGTGCTATATTATATTAAAATCTCTATAGATAATAGTTTTATATTAGAAACTATTTTACAAAGTGCTTAAAGTGTCCATGTTAATAAGTTCCATTTGCCATTTCATTTACCTTTTGGAGCAAGCAACATTAAATATCTTTTTTTTGTCTTGGGTTAACCTCCAGAAGTGCTCAGGGCTTTTGCCTGTCTATGCACTTAGGGATCACTCCTGGCCAGACCTCAGAAGCTATATGCAGTGCCAGAGACTGAACCCAGGTTGACTGCATGCAAGGCAAGCATCCTGCCACCTGCTGTATCACTCACTTGGGCTCCTGAAATCACTGTCACTGTCCTCCCATTGTTCATCGATTTGCTCAAGCGGGCCCAGTAACGTCTCCATTGTGACATTGTTACTGTGTTTGTAACGCCTCCATTGTGACAATTGTTACTGTGTTTGGCATATTGAATACATCACGGGTAGCTTGCCAAGTTTTGCCGTGTGGGCGAGATACTCTCGGTAGCTTGCCGGGCTCTCTGAGAGGGGCGGAGGAATCGAACTCGGGTCGGCCATGTTGGCCGCTTGCAAGGCAAACACCCTACCTGCTGTGCTGTTGCTCCAGCCCAGGCCCCTGAAATAAAAAAATTATGTCTTCCAAGGAAGTGGGAGGGAACTTGGGGACATTGGTAGAGGGATGATCACACTGGTGGTGGGATTGTTTTGTAATGTTATATGTCTGAAACAAGTTTATTTCAACAACTTTGTTAATCACAGTGTCATAATAAATTTTTAAAATATCCTTAGGGATGTTAAAAAAGTATCAAGCGTAGAACAATCAATATTAAATGAGATGTAATTCATTATTGAAAATGTATTAAATTCCTTAGGAGGAAGGTATAGGTAAACATAACTTTCTAATAGAGGGCAACAATAAGCACAATGAGTGAGTACCATACTTATTGCCTTCATGCTGAGATGTTTGTCCAGTCCTTTAAATAAACTCCTTTAACGCTTATTGCAAAGCTAGTTTCAAGGCTGTGAATTTCCTAAGATGTTGCTTGTCCATGATTTTTTATCATTAATTCTAATCTGAATGATAATATCCCTGGAAAGAGTATTCTTGGTTGGTGTTCATAAGTTTTTGTACTATTATCCGTCCATCCTCTTCTTGCTTGTAGAGTCTTACTTAATAGATCAACTGTAAATTTCATGGACTTTCCTTCGTGTGTAAGTTTCTATTTTTGTTTTGCTGCTTTTAAAACTCTGTCTTTCGTTTTGTCTTTCTGAACAGAATGTGTCTTGGAGTTTATCTAGTTTAGTTTATTTTTTCTGGGGAGTTTAAATCATCTTTTGTATTTGTTAGCTTGCATACCTCAACTGTGGAAAGATTTTAATTGTGATTTCTTTTACTTTCAACTATGATTTCTTTATCAAATTTGCCCTCTTGGTTCTGATGTATTCAGATTATTCTTATGTTTCCCTCTTAAATTGATCCCATAGTTCTCTGGTGTGCTGTTCATTTCTTTTCAGATATTTTACTATCTTCTGTTATTTTCTGATGTTTTTTCCATCTTTTCTTGGAGCTTTTCAATCTTTTCCTCAGCTGCTGTTATTATGCTGCTCAGAGATTCTAATAGTTTTTGTTTTTAAATATTTAACATACTCATTTCTGTCATTTCTGCTTGTTCTCTCAGCGCTCATAGTTTCTTGTGCTTTGCT